AGTTGAAATCCATAACAAATGTCATATTTTGAGAATGAATGGCTAACAGGGATGAACAGCTCTCCAGTCTTTTGAGTTAACTACTGAAACTTATATTTTGTAATTACCCAACAATATTAGATTAAATTTAAATGATCAGTAAGTGAACGGCAGATGCACCTGATGTAAGCAAAGTGAAAGAAAAACGGCTCATAAATAATACGATGCTGGATGTTACTACAGCTTCGAGTGTACAGTGAAAATCTGGGTCAAGTCAACATTACATATTGATTACATCAGTAACGGCTGTGCACGTTCCACCCAGTCAGCAAGCGCGTTATTATGCTGCACGTACTGCAGATTGTGCATTGACATCAGCCACATTCTGTTAGACTGTAGGTAAATTACTCATGATGGTGTAATTAACAGAAAATCCAGTAATCCCAGTAATCTAGATTTATCTGACGATGTAGACAGATGGGTAGATTGTGCCTCTTATAATGAGACTTCCTTATATTATTCCTTTAATTGAAATGCTAAAAAAAAAGAAGAAGGGCTTTGGTTTAGAGAGTGTTTAACTTTTTGTAATAAAATGCTCCAAAACTAAACTCTCATTGCAACAACCACCAACAGTCAGTACAATTTTCTACCTTTTTTTTGGCTTTTAGCTCACCAAACCCATAACTCGCACAGGTCAGGCCAGTTTAGTCGTCACATGTATGTGGCGTGGACGTGTCGGGGATTTCTCCAGGAAGCCAACAATGGGTTCAACTGTCTTCACAAGCCCCCTCCTCCTCCTCCTCCTCCTTTCCCCCTGCGCTCGCCTGCAGGCATCAATCTCAGAGGACGGGGAGGGGGCCGCCCGAGGCACATCCAGCCTCTGATGGAGCCTTATAACGCAGAGAGATGATGATCAGAACCAGATGCGGCACGTGGAGCTGAAGTCCCCCATAGATTAGCCTTAACGTGCACAAACACTGTCACCTCTCTGGTTTGATCTCAAATGTTTTCTCTCCCCCCCCCCTTCAGGCGGCCGGGTGAAGACGTGGAAGAGGAGATGGTTTATTCTGACCGACAACTGCCTCTATTACTTTGAATACACAACAGTAAGTAGGCAGAATGATGCGTTTCATGTGACTTCTCGTCTGTTTTGCTTTGTTGTTTACCAGAATGCACAAGACGCATCTTTTTTTTTTTTTTTTTGCAGATTAGCAACAGAAAATGGATCTTGAAGGAATTAGCTGGGCGTCATAGCAAATTCTCTAATCCGCTTTTCTTGCTAAGAGTTAGATGAGAGGATCGATACCACTCTTAAATATGAAGCTGCAGCTAGAAGATGGTTATCTTAGATTAGACTGGAAAGAGAGGAACACCAGCACTTCTGAAGCTCACAAATTAACATGCTATGTATGCTATTTGAGGAATATGTGTTAAAAAGAAGTGCAAAACCAGCAGTTTGTGGTTTTGTGTGACTATTTGTTGCCTGTGAGCAGCCAGTTTTTGGTGTATCCACCGGTTGCATGGCAACACTAATACTCAAGAAGCCTCCTTCCAGCACACAGCCCCTCCATAAACCCCAAAATAGTTTTCACGCTTTGACTGGTGTTTATTTTTATACATTTATAGTCGCATATTTGGCATGCAGTCATGACCTGGTGCTCGTCATCTCAGCAATAAAGCAAATAAACATAATTTCCAAAATGTCGAACTGTTCCCTTCAGAGTATTAGTCGTTTCACGTTTTGAAATGTTTAATCCAGCTGTGTTAGTTTAGCAAAGTGTGTAGAATTTCTGGAATTGCAGAGGGATTTTAAGTAAAGTGGAGCCATATGAAACAAAGGGCATCCATTTAGACAGACAGAGGCACAGGTCTCTGCCTTCCAGCTCTGCTACTTAACAGATGCAGCCCCTCTGACCTAAATGAACCTCACTCCAGCAATTAACATGAGACATCATAGGAAACATCTGCAATGTCTACAGCACACATCTGGCCCCCACTAAGCCCTAAGCCAAGTGCCTCCCCCACAACCCCACAACCTCGAATCCCTCGGCATCGCGCAAACCGGCGCTGCGATGGGGGTACGCACACACTCTAAAAGGCACACACTGAGCCAGCTGTGAACAGCTGTCCCAGGGCATTTCCTCCCCCCGCTGTGCACCCCTCATTAGAAAGAAGATGACAGGCGGGACACGAGGCCGTTCCTCAAGGACCCCCCAACACACACACACACACACACACACACACCCTCACATCTGGCCCCGCAGACACAATAGCTGGAGGATGGAGGATGGAGAGTGTAGGGTTACATCTCCCTCGGGTGGTGTCCCCTACATGACCAGGATGAATAAAAACCTCCAGTGTGCTTTAATTACACCTTGATTGGTGCTGAGATGCTGTCAGGCTTCGAATAAAGTAGAAGTAGTGTTTAAAGCATACATGCTATGGAAATTAAAGGTGTGTTTTGATTTGTAATTCATAGCTGTTACTGCTCATGATACGAAATGTTTTTAAATCAAAACTCCAGCCTGGAACCACATCCATTTATCTATTCATTTTATTGTATTTAAAACCTGTGAGAACCCTCATTTAATTAGATAATAACAAGGGTTAGAACACAAAAACAACACAAGTCTTGGTTATTTTTGCAATGATGAGGGATTTTGCAACAAATTTTTAACACCAAATGAAAATAAAGCAGTTTTTTTTGTCTTCACTCAGATGTATTCATTTATATCTTATTCTGACCCAACAACAAACGAAACGAACCCCAACGGTCCTCTGTGAGATTATAGAAATAATATATAAAGTGGGAACAGAGAGCTTTTCAAATTTCCTCGCTCACATTTCCAAATGGTGCTGCTTAATTAAAGAATCCTAAATCTAAATCTGTGGGAGAATTCTGTGACACTAAAGGTTGCCCCTTCTTTGCCTCCTCCAAAATGGCCTCCCTTTCTTTTGCTGGGTAGAGGCAGTGGGTTTAATGTCTTGATTGTATGTAGATGAAGCTCTTTCAGGAACACATGACTTATTGGTGACCAAGTTTATGGAAAAAAAGCTTTTCGTGGTGTGAGCAAGAGGCTACGGGTACCACGAGTGATTTAGCATTAATCTGGGCTGGATCCTTTGTTCATTTCATGTCGCTGCGCCTTCACCGCACACAGATATTATCTTTGCCCTCGTGCAGATCTTGCAGTAGATGGTGGTAAAGACGCACGCGCTGAATGAGTTATGTGTTAATGCTGAGGGCTGTTTTTTTTTGTATGTGTCTCCAGGATAAAGAGCCTCGTGGGATTATTCCTCTGGAAAACCTTAGTATCAGAGAGGTGGACGAGCCAAGAAAACCTGTAAGGACCATATCCTCTCATCTAAATTCACCTTCACACAAACAAAAAATACAACTAAGGTTGAATGTTTGCTCATCAAACGGGTACGATGTCTCCACAGAACTGCTTTGAGCTCTACAACCCCAACCACAAAGGTCAGGTGATCAAGGCCTGCAAGACAGAGGCGGACGGGCGGGTCGTCGAGGGCAACCATGTAGTGTACAGGATATCGGCCCCCACTCCAGAGGAGAAGGAGGAGTGGATCAAATCCATCAAGTAAGTGTTAGTGTGGATCCATTTACACTGAGAGGGCACTTAGCCAACGCCAGCCTGCTCCCGTGTGGGACTTTCTCATGTCTGACCTTGACTGTGAGAAACACACACACACACACACACACACACCAACGTGGCGTGGCCTGGTGACTAAATGTGACTCCATTTCTCACACTTCCATGCAGATAACACTCAGAGGTGATTTCTGCTCTGCTGGATAAGCTCACTTCCCTTTGATTAGAGCTCAACAAGCAAAGAAAAGCTCACACACCTACTCAGACACTATGCCCCGCTGCACGTCTAAGTGTTCTGGCCAGCATTTACACCTACGGATCCAAAGGCCGGGTTGTTAACCAGTGAGGAGAGCGGAGGTGCTGCTGTAAATGGGACCCAGCGGGTAATTGATCAGCTGGCTGGTTATCGTCCACTCAGCTGCACATTCACTGACCAAAATGATCAATATCAGAGCAGAAAATGATATTACTCAACCCTACTATGCTGTAATGATATTAAAAAACCACTTAGCATTGACAGACGTGAGTCCGTTAAGTGAAAGCGGTGGACTTTAGGGGCGAGTTACTGGAATCTTGTTCGGGTTGAGGCTGCTTCATGTGCAGCTAAAGCGATTGGAAAGAGGAGAGAGGTGATCATTTTTCTCGGTTTGGAAGATTTACCGTCCGCTGACCTTCAGAGGACACGCTGTCTGTTTCACATCCTGTAGGAGGTCTCGGAGTGAAACAGCACAAGCGTTGACTCAAGTAGTGACTGCTGCACATGTAATATTGGTCACAGAAAGAGGCTCAGCAGGACGGGGCTGTGCTGCCGAATCCACACTCTCACTCGACTGGCTCGACGAGCGGGGCGGCAGACTGTCCTGTGGTCAGCAGATTTCACACACACCTCGGAATGCACACACACACACACACACTGTCCCACCTGACTCATGTGCAAGGCTGGAAACTGCTGTTGTTGTAACTGTGCACACACACACACACACAGCACGGGCCGTCTCAGCACGTCAACCACTATGCTGCTGGGAAAGCAGATAATTACTCAGCATTATTCCCATCTTCTGCACCCTGACAGCACATCAGGGTATGAAGTGTGATTCTTCTGTAGGAATGGGGCTGCATTAACACACACACTGACAACTTAAAGCAGCTATAATGTGATTTTTTTGCAGTAACTGTGCAAGAGATTTGTAATTTATTTGTAAGTTAGTTTACTGTTATTGTTTTTAAGGACGTAGCAATGTCCAAGGCTGAAAAATAAAGTCAGTGCAAAAGTGTCAAAAACTGCAATTCCTCTAATGGCCACCAGAAGCGAGTATGTCCCTGTAGACCACCATGTAGAAATGTACAGCTTTACAGGAGAAATAAACATGTTTACAGGTTAGAAGAGGACACGATTTTGGTGTCTATAGCTAATTTACCTTTTAATGACAACTGGGCGAGGAGCACATTTTTATATAACTCACCCACTTAAATTGTAATAAATTAATTTGATTCACTTTATCCCTTTATAGGGCGCTCATTGAAATACTTGGAAAATGGAAATTTCAACCCTAGAGTGTTATTGAAGGATATTTCAAGACTTTTTTTTACTTTTGTGATTTAAAAAAAAAATATATAAACATTGCAAATCAAAATTCATAAAGTTACCATATATGGTAACTTTCCCGTCTACAGTTAAAAAAAGGAAATTTATAATAAATACAAGAAAAAGCAACAAACTGCAAAAACATTTTAATTTGAGGTAATGATACCTACACAACCAGTAACAAAGTATTTATAAAGTGCTTGGACAGTTCGTATAGTAATATTTTTCTTGGGGCAGTGGTATTAATGGCACTAATCTCAAAAAATAAATCAAAGTGGAGTTCAATGCAAACCAATAATAAAGCGTTGATAAAATGTCTGGAACATTTGTTTAGTGACATTTTTCGTAAGGTAGTGAAATTGCCACTAATATGAAAATTAAATCAAAGTGCACATGGTTGTTCAACCTCAAGGAGAGGCACAGGGTGGACAAGTTGAACGTTCAAGGACGTTACGAAATATGATCACTTGCCCCAAAAAGGGTTAAATAGAACATTAAATCCAAGAAGTTGAGCCAAAGTGCCTTCCAACTGAGATATAAGATTAACATTGGACAGTAATCTTAACGTTAAGGCCAGACCTTAGAATATTTTTAAAAGAAACCAAATGATTCTCTTTGAGCAAAGACTTGACAACAGTTTAGAGAAAGAACTCCAGCAGAACCAGGCTCAGGGAGGGTAGCTATCTACCTCCCCTGGCTGGGGTGAGGGGGATATTATGGCATAAAGTTATGCATCATTAAATGCATGGCTGCCTTGAGTGACAGGTGGGTAATGTCACATGACAGTCCACGGCCCAGATGCATTTACCTAGCCGGCCTCAACTTCACTCTCGCTCCACCTCTTTGCTTATTTTTGGATTTACCAGGAATCAGAAGGTGTCAGACACTGCAAAGGCGACGCCACCCTGAGGTTCAGAAACACTTCATGGGTGACACCACAGAGCGTTGCTGGTTTTACACCCTGCAGCTTCATGTTGAACTTCAGTTGCATCACCCACAAAACATTATTTCCTGCCTACCAAGAAGCTGTTTTCACTGTACACTGCCTACCTAACAAAGAATGGCAGTAAGCAACTAGCTGATAAATATAGCACATCATTGTTCATTCATTCATTTGCATTCCCATTAGCTTCCACCACAGCGGTTGCTCGTCTTCCTGAGGTCCACGTTCTAAAAATACATCACAAAATCCTACATGAACCCACGTAAAATATCCGACCAAACAAGAATTAAAGGCAAGACGAAAATAAGCGTTCTCATTCTTAACACGGCAGACCTGGAACAGCAGTAATCCAAAGTCCTTCAGGAGATCTGTAAAGGTGGGGATGCTGCTAATGAAGCAGTTTGCACAGAAAATAAAGAATTATAAAACTGGAGTTAGCTGAGAAACACTTGACATGATCATAGTAAACCTGAACTTCTACAGGGAACCAGAACTGTTGGTGTGGTATGGTTAAAAGGAGCTCATGTTGGACTTCATAGGGCGTTAAAAAGCCGCAAACACAGCAGCAAATGAATGCTGGTGCTGCTTTGTAGCTGCTGTGTGTGTGTCACAGGCAACTGTTTGCCAACATGTTTAGTATATCAGCTTAAAAGCTGTCAGTGTGTCAGCCAGTTTCCTCTCCTCATCACCTAATGCAGCTTGAAGTTGGCTAATACGGGCTGCAGCATTAAAGGAAAAATCCAACCTAAAATTCTCTTGATGCACAGTTGTCAGGCTCACCCACATCTGTCTGGTGCTTTGTGGGTAGAGTGAATGACGAGATGCTGAGATATTTATAGCACAAACAAGGTGGTGTAAAGTGCAGGTGTCTGAGGCGCCACAAATCACCGCGAATGTCAGGTTTCGGTGTTGATGACTCGAAGCTGGGTGGCGCGCGACGGGACGAGTTCTGGGAAAGATGCACCGATAGCACAGAATTAGGCCTCTGAGACTTCACAATACGTTCACAGTGCTGATGAATCTGTCCTTGTTGTGAGCATTTGGAAGCAGTCAGTCTTTAATCTGCTCCTTCCTGTCCTCCACAGAGCGAGCATCAGCAGGGATCCTTTCTACGACATGCTGGCCACCAGGAAGAGGAGGATAGCCAATAAGAAATGATGACCGCCCACCTGCAGCTACATCTGTCAGCACCATTTCTGTGACCAGGAGTCCTTGTGTGTCTGTTGTGTGTGTGTGTGTGTGATGTGGGAGTCATGAAGGCCTCCTATTCGTTCTTTCAGGGCTGGGACAAGCAGCAGCAGCAGATGCAGGTGGGACTGTACGTTTATTCCCACCTGAAGATGGCCTGCGCCTCAATTCTTTGCTGAGAAGATTGTATTTAATCTGGCACAGACTTGGAATATCGAAGTGAAGCGTAGAAGAAGGAACTGAGCGGTGATGGAGAACGGCACCAGGACGAGACGGCCACAGCTGCGATTGTGGGGTCTTTTCGTGCGTTGTGATGAGACTGCCCTCTGCTGGACGCATAGGGAACCGCAGCTACCGCACTCCACCACACAGCCAGGATTTGAAACCTGATTATCCATTGCCATACAGCTGTATTCCTGTCATCCCGTCTGCCCCGCTGGCAGTCTAGACCCTTCCCCCAACATGCCATTTCATTACCTGCACCTCCTTCAACGACTGCCAACAATATTTTGTAGTGACGTGCGACTACAGAAAGCCTCAAGCTCGTCAGTCAGCTGGTCTGACTGGTGGCCCTCTAGTGACTGTATCCGTATATGCAAATGTACTGATTTATTCCACCTTGGTTCACCATCCTTCATTTACAATTCTCCCTATTATTTCAAGGCAAACAAATGGAAGCAGGTCTGAAAACTTTATATCGAGTGTGATGACACCTTTGAAGTGGCTTCAAAAAGCTATAATGCATCATATATATTAATTGTCATCTTGAAGTATTTTATGTATTGAAAATCCATCTTTGCGATCATTTGTATTTATTTTTCTTATTGTTTCACAAAAGAGGCAGCCCCCAACCCCCCCCGACTTACATTATTATGCATGTATAGTATATAATGTACATATTTTTTTTTTCTTTGTTGTGTTCATGTAGCGTGTAAATCATAATGGCTGTAGCCTATACCCGTTCACCTTTTTTTTGTTTTTTTTTTTTTTCTTAGTTTGACAGCTAACAGTTTACAATAGTGGAAGAGGGACTTTGTGCAGCTCCTTGTGGAGCGGTGAAACCTCCCCATACTGTGTTATTACTGAGGATCAGATAATACATGATGTTATATGAAAGAAAAACAAGACAGGAGAGTAGAGGATTTAAACTCTTTGAGAAGTGAAACAGATAAGATACTGGAATTTTCCAACTGGGTGAATGACGACTGGAATCTGAGGACTGTTTTCGCCCAGACAGATCAAACCAAACCCACAGCCAAGAGCTTTACTTCCTGGGTGCATCTTCTAGGTTTAAACATGGTTTGGTCTTTGTTTGGGGAAACTGCTCCTGAATACTTTGATGTAGACTTTGAATAAAAATACATGCTGATCAGAAAAGTGTTCTTGCGTGCATGTGAATTCAGCGAGAAGCGCTCTGAACTTACCAGGTCTTTGGTTATTTCAAACACGGAATAGGGTGTTGTGAGTAAAGTAGCGTGAGCTGAGCCGACCCAAATAACTAGAAAAGTGTGTATCTAACAAAACCTGAATACAGAAGAGTGCTGTCAGTTAACGGATCTACACGGTGATTTAACTGTAGTGGAACGTTTGTTCAACAAGAGGCTCGAATACAATCAGTCTATCCTACATAATACAAAGGCAGACAGGAGCTTTTTTTTTTAGTTAAAAATCCCTGGCAAACTCATCCGTCATCTCAGTCAGCATTTTTCATTCATTTCAATGCAGCTTGTAAACAAAGTCCAAGAACAAATTACAATTTCTGACATTAACAAATGTATTTTAAGGCTTTTACCTTATACAATGTATAAATTCTGACATGCTAAACTAAAAGTATAACAGCAGTTTTTTTTCCCCCCAACTTCTGTCTAAAGTTGAAAAAGAAAGAAAGAAACGTTAACCATACCCATTACTGACGTTTGTTCAGAGAATATGGTCAAATTACCACAAGTTCTTCTAAAAACAAAGCAAATCAACAAAACATCTGAGAATCCTGATACAGGATCTTTACGTATAAAAATAACTGATAGTACAGTTCAAAATTAAATTCACAGTATTTTTTTTTTATGACGCTAGAAGACACAAACTGTATTTTGTCATTAAAAAGCTAACACAAATGGTCCACAGCCATGACAACAAAGTTTTGATGCTTTTCTTTTTGAATGTTTAAAAAGAAAAAAAAAGAAAAATAGAATGAAAGGAGAGAGAGAGGCATGATTCAGAGAAAAACCCTCTGCATCTTGTGAAAAAGTTTAAAAAGTGTGAATCTTAGGCTTCAGAGCGAAATGGAAACAAAAGACGTGAACAAAAAAAAAAAAAGCTGGGAAATGTTCTCAAGTCTGTCCAGGGTTAACATGGAGGTATCAGTCAGCGAAGCCTTGTTCCCACCAATGCGCTCGTCTGTCTCCTTCACAAAGATCTCCCAACGTTAGTTTGACTGCTCCCAGTGGGATCGAAGAAATGACTAAAAACATTGCAGCTCTGTAGATATGGTGACATCTTAAACTCACAACCAACGGTTCTTCCCTTCCCCTCTTCCCTTTAGTTTCGTTCTTATTTGTAGCAGGTGGATATCAGTGATGGATGTTAACAAGTTTTTCAAGTCCTGAGTTCCACTGAGCAGCAGTTGAGATGTTTAAGCTCCAGGCTTTGTTTGAGTTCATACAAGTATATATTAATATTTTTCATCATAAATGTTCAACGGGTAACTTTTTTTCTTTTTTCTTTCTTTTTTTTTAATAATAGGAGAGTTACGGCAATTAAAGTAATGCCGTTCAAAAAAAGAAAACAAAAAAAACAAAAGAAAAAATATTTTTGAACATTTAAAACACCGTAGTTGTGGTAAAAATACAATATATTCCCAATGAAGAAGCACCACGTCAAAAAGTTGTCGATGTCATTCCTCTGCTGTTGTTAAAATGGTGGTGATGTGTCTGAAACGAGAAAGGGGAGACCTTCTTATAATCTGTTTGCAAGTGATGATCTGAAACATGTGTGCCTACAATAAGACTACCAACTGTTTCGTGCCGCTGACTGTACTGTTATGATCATTAAAAAAAAAAAGAAAAAGATGCCCACTCACAGAGTCAGTGTTTCAGGCCACTGGAGTTGCCATTGGTTCGACTGTAACCGTTTCCTACAAAACAGGATGACCATGTATTAGGTTACATTATTGTATTTCAGCATTTTGAAGGATGACTTTGAATGTGAAAATGTTCTGCTAACCTGTGTATCCGTTGTAATAGCGGTGAGTTGAACAGTTTGTGGGTGAGGTGTGGCGGGAGGGGGGGAGACGGTTACTGCTTTCATCGGCGCAGTCCGTGCGGCGGCGTTTTTCTGGCGAGTAACCGTTATCGTATTTAGAGTCCTTAAAGTCAGAGTGACGCCGCTTGCGGCTCTCCCGTTCCTCACTGCTCCTGTTCTTGTGGCTCCGTGCTGCTCCCGGGCTGTGCTCCTCAGGGTCACTGTCCCGGTGCCTCCTCTTTTTCTTTTTTTTCTTTTTTGATTCCGTGACTCTGTCGGAATCTGCGTCGGAGCTTCTAGGGGAAGACAGAAAACGGCATGATTATCCTCAACTCAAAAAACTAACAGGCATCAGGCTTTATTACCTTTATAAAGACAAAAATGAAGGTCTGGGCACTAAAACCACAGCGATATGTATAGGCCATAAACCAGGGGTGTCAAACTGCGGTCCTCGAGGGCCGCAATCCTGCACCCCTGCCATAAACACTTAATAGCAATGAGAAAATTGCTTAATAAAATGTTTGATAGTTTTACTTAATTCCATCAGATGCAGACAATCCCGAAAACACACAACACAACAAAGTTCGACTGCATTTACAACCCACACCTCCAGGTTTTAAAATAGTGTGTATTACGGAACGATGATTCGTTTATCCTTATTTGTTTATCAATAAGTGCAAACTCATTCGTTGGTGTGTTCTTCATTGCGGTTAAAATTGTTATTGTAATTGTTAATATTATTAGGCAGTGTGCGCTGATAAAGTGGCTGAATTCAAAGTAAGGTGGTTATAATAGAAATGTTTTTCTACTGCTCTTCATTAAAAATAGGTTATTAAAAAATATCAGCAGTTATTGACAGATAGAGATGAAACACTATCATGAAAATTGAATTGTCTTTAACTTCTATTGCCCAGCTCAAGCTGCAATTCTTTCGTTCTTGGATGATCACTATACCAGAAAAAGGTCAAAAATAGTGAAAAAAATAAAAATAAAATGCTCTTCACAACTTCATAGTACTGTCTGGGAATGTCTTCAAGTATCTCATTCTCTCAAATTAAAGTTTACAACTAAAATAACATCAGTTTGCTATGAAAGATAACCAACAAATCCTAACATCTGAGAAGCTTGAACCAGAGGATGGTTTTCATTTCTTATCAGTTCTTTCATCTCTTGACCAAACGATTGAACGGCATATTATTTCAACTGTAAAATGATAAAAGCTGTTCAGTTTACAACTGAGGTTAGTAGTATTATTGCTGATCTTTTAACCTTGAATGATTGTGCAGGTTCGCATCTTTAGATTTAACAGTCGCCTTGATATTATCCAGATATTCTGTTTTGAAATATTATTTGCGTCTGATGTAATTTGTCATAAAAAAGAAAAATTACTTTGTTGGTAAATTCTTAAAACTACATTTATGCCTCGTATATTATATTTAAAAAAAAAATCATGCATGAATATGTAAAAATTAATGCAAAAGAGCCTTCTCATTGTGTGTGCACTTTAGCTCAAGTCTCCAGAGCAAACTGGACCTGGATCGTCTTCCAAACTACACGCCATGTCAGAAATCTGGCTTGCAGATTAAAATACTTTAAAATGAGATGCCATGTGTGCATTGTGGGAATCTGTGAACACCCCTTTAGTGTCAAACTCTGAACATGCATCATTCTGCACAGTGAACACTGGAGCAAATAACCATTTAGTGAAATAGATTTCTGACTTTTAGTGCAGCGCAACATGCAGACAAAAATAGCACAACTCACCCGCTCTCACGATGTCTGTCTTTGTCCTTTGACTTTTTCTTTTTCTTGCTCTTTTTATGTTTTTTAGAGCGACGGGCCTCAGAGCTGTCATCGCTCTCCTTGCTCTGATGATCAGCAGTCCTCTTGTGATTTTGACCCTCCCTGTTTGCTGCTGATTCAGATGTGGAGAGGAGAACCCGTGGAGGGGAGCCCTTGAACTTGCTTGTTTCTGACACTGTTGCAGCCAAGGAAGACCCCTCTTTAGAAGGGTAGTAGTCCCTCTCCCTGCCACTGCTCTTGTCCTTCGTTGCCCAGTAATCTCGACTCTCATGGTGCCACCTGCGAGGATTTTGAGAGTCCTCGCGGTTGTAACCGTATGCCCTCCGCTCGCGATCCACATCCTCCCTGGGTCGTTGGCGGTAGTAGCTGTAATGGCGGGAGTTTCTGTCATGATCACGCTCTCTTGGTGATCGCTGAACGTTTCGCTCCCGTCGACGTTCAGGATCCCAGTCTCTGTAGGAGCGCTCTTGAGGAGGCAACCGGTCCCTGTATGAGCGAGAACGGGGATCTCGATAGCCCCGCCTGTGCCATTGACGATCACCATCGCTATCTCGCTCTTTGCTCCTGTCCCTGTAGTGTCTCTCCCTGTCTCTGCCAGCATCAGAGTACAGTCTGTCTCTCTCCCTGTCACGGGAGGATTGTCTTTCATTGCCTCTATAACTGGGCTTGGACTGATACTGCTCCTTTGTATCTGTACGTCCTTCAGTCACTACTGATGGACCATTGCTTTGTGGTAGATCCTTGGCTTCATTCTTATTTATGTCAACCTTCTGTGGAGCTGCAGATGCCCCACTGGTGCTTTGAGAGCAGTCTGGCTGGGTGGATAAGGCCGCAGGGTTGCCATGATGCCCAGAAGGAGCAGCAGATTCTATAGATCCAACAGAAAGGGTCGTTGTAGCAGTAGCAGGAGGTGGAGAGCTAACAGCAGCGTGTGCTGTGTGGTGAGGCAGGGGTTCAGACAGAGTTTTAGCCCTTATGTCAGGAGTAGAGAGGTGCTGCCTGTCATTAGCAGCAGGATGAATGCTCTGAGAAGAACTGGCCTGGGATGAGGCAGGAGTATGGGCCTCTTTGCTGGAAAAACAAACAACAAATACAAGCATATGAGCACAGTGCTTGATGGGTGAAACATTTGTACAGTGAATGCCAGGGCAACAAAGTAGGTTTTTACATAAATTATGGTCATTTCTTCAAACTCACTACTGCAAGAAGAGTTTTTATTTAATTACTTAATGTGAATTACAGAGCAATAATGTTTTTCTAGCTTAGAGTTAGAATGTGAATCTTACTTTGGTTGACTATGGTCATTGCCTAGCCCATTAGCAGGAGGGGCCACT